AATGAATGAATAAATAAATAAATAAATACATAAATAAATAAATAAATAAATAAATAAATTAAAAAAACCATTAGAGTCAACTCCGAAATTATTGGAACAGATTGAAAAATTTGGAGAAGTAGCGGGATTGAAGATAAATAGAGGGAAAACTAAACTAATTGTAAAAAACATGAGAAGACCAAGCTTCAAATAGTCAAGAGAGTTAAATACTTGGGAATTTATCTGACAATCAGAAGACCAGCAGTCATAAGATCGAACCCACACAATGGAGTGAGCTCCCGTCGCTTGTCCCAGCTCTTGCTAACCTAGAAACAAAATTGAATATAGAACTCAAACCAGAGTTGTTTTTATTGGGTATTATGCCAGAGAATATTAACAAATAAGATAGCTGTATTATATTACATATATTGACGGCGGCTAGAACAGTATGGGCTCAATATTGGAAAATGAGAAATCACCATGAGAAGAAATAATTGTACAAAAAAATCTTAGATTGTGTAGAGATGGATAGATTGACAATGACAATTAAAGGGAAAGAGGATTCTGAATATTATCAAAACTGGAATAAAGAGTGGCAAGAGCAAAGAAATAAGGTATAGAGACAAATGAGACACGATGTGATATGAACAATTTGATGTATATCCAGTGAACATGACGAATGACAATGGAAATATATTTTATGTGTTCTAAAAAGTAAAATTTTTAAAAAAGAAAGAAAGAAAAAATATTCCATAGGTCTTCCTTTCTTTTTCAGCAACAGAACAGCATCACTACCTTTCATCGATCTCTGTGGGTGGGTGGGAGATAAGAATGTTAGGTGAAGAAGCAGAAAAAGATCTTCAAAGGTGAAGCTAAGCTGTAGAAGTACATATCTAATAAAAATGTTCTCAAGTGCTTGATAAAAATGCTAATACCTTGCTGCTTCTTTTGGTGTGTTGGTGCATATTTTGCAGCTTCAGCTGTCCCAAAAGTGTTGGCAAAGCCCGAGAATCTCTCTGCCTCCTTTATTGTTCAAGATGTCAACATTACTGGGCATTTCTCTTGGAAAATATCAAAATCAAATCTTCACCAGCCCATGACAGGTTTCCAGGTCACTTGGGCAGAGGTTACAACTGAAAGCAGACAAAACAGCTTACCCAACAGCATTATTTCCCAATCACAAATATTGCCAGTCGTAAGTATCTTGTAGGGTTGTTGTTGTTGTTGTTGTAGGGCAGGAGGGAAGAATCAAGGAGATCTTCTACATGGCCTCTGTGAATCACACCCTGGGTGATCCGTGCTTGTGTGGAGCCTCATCTGATGATTCTAGAGCTTCTGCAGTAGCAAAAAACACATTAGAGTAAGCCCCTCCCCGTATAAGTACCTTGGCAACAAGCCTCTCCTTTCAGTTTCTTTCAACTGCCACGTTGAGAGCCTTATCTTTAGAAAAAAGATCACGTTAAATACTGTTATTAGTTTTTTCTTCTTCTCCACGTTCGGCCTGTCAGCTGCAGCACCCCCATCCCCTGTTTTCTTAATCAGTTTTTCCACATATTCATGGCCCCTTTGGGGCCCATTCAAGCACTGCGTGGTCTGCAATAGTAAAATACCGCTTTCGGATGGCCGCTCCAAGTGCCTCTTTTGCTTGGGAGAAGCACACCAAACTTCCTCCTGCGCCCATTGTAAAAATTTTAAGCACGGAGTCCTCCAATCTGTCTAGGCTGAAACTCCGCCTTTGGGAGCAGTCCCCTCAACCAGCTAAAATGGCCCAGCTTCCATGTAAGGCCACTTCTCAAACCAAAGTGATGGAAAAAGATGTTTCCAAATCATCAAAACAAAGTCCATCGGCTACACCATCCCATTCTGACGCTTCATCCACATTGTCAGGACCCTCCAAAATGCAAAAGTCAAAAACGTTGATACCGAAGTCCTTGGCATCAAAAGATTCCACTAAATGCCAGATGTCTACCGAAGCCTCTGTGGCTCCGGAGCCTTCTCCACCTAAAAGAAGCAAACACCATAAATCCAAGCATATAGTCATAAAACAACCACCGTCTGAGTCAATTTCCGTTGGTTCTCCTTCTGATGATGATGGCCTGCCGTCCCATCAGCCTTGTTCTCAGTCTCTGGAAAGAGGTGACAGAGTCAACCGTCTAACGTTCTCTCCCTCCAGTCTGCAACACTCTATTCATTCGAGCAACCTCTCTATTGTTGATTTGCCCAAAGGAGTCCATTCCTAACAACTCGACACTGTTCCCTATCAGGTGCCATCTGATTGGCCACCTATCCCTATGCAGAGACATTGGCAACAACAATATCTCGAGCTGCCTGCTCCATCATGTGTGGCTCACACCCACGTTCAGCACACTCATCGGGTTGCCATTTGCCCTGACCAGTGCTCTCTCAGACAAACTGCATCTGCCAGTCTACCAGGCACTTTACCCAGTTCATTGGTACCATCTAGCAGTCTGCCTCACTCTCGACAACCATCAATGTCAAAGCAGCCGCATCACCACGACAATCATGGATCTCAATCTGCTCCCTACCTGGCACTTAAGAGACCCAGAATGGTTGAACACCATTCTTTAGCGCACAAGGCTTTTACAGCTCCAGCTTCCCACTATTTTCCTACCAACCCAGATGATGGAAACCATTCCTGCCTCACTCTCGACAACCATCAATGTCAAAGCAGCTGCATCACCACAACAATCATGGATCTCAGTCTGCTCCCTACCTGGCACTTAAGAGACCCAGAATGGTTGAACACCATTCTTTAGCGCACAAGGCTTTTACAGCTCCAGCTTCCCACTATTTTCCTACCAACCCAGATGATGGAAACCATTCCTCATGCTCGGCATCTCCAGCATCCATATGTTGATGCTGTTGCCGCATCAACAACCTCCGTTTAGACATCACAGAGACACAGGCTCTGATATAGATGATCCTCAATATCCACCCTGGTCCATGGATGCCCGCTCCATCCCCCTGCCTCCACAGGATTTCCGTCCTCCGGTAAATCCTAAACATCGAACCCGACACCATTACGATACTGCGTTTGACACCAAGGCCCACTCATACTGTACAAAGTACATGGGCACTCAACCAACATATTTCGATGTTGAAGGCTCTTGACACCAGCAAATATCCATCGACATGCTGCCTCTTATCTATATCAAGTTGTAACCACCAATACTATGACGTTCAGCCTCTTGACACCGAAGTCAACTGACACCGAAGTCCATCAACTCCAGACATGACCTCGAAGTTTCTGATCATGGATCTCGACCTCAGACTCCATCAGTATTACTCACCTCACCAGAATCTGACATTGTCGATGCGACCCACTGTCCCCAGCAGACAATTTTCAGACTTATGCCCAACTTATGATTCTAATGGATAAGTCCCTCAACCTCCAAATTCACCATCCATTGACAGAACCAGCCGATCATCTGTACGATCCAATCTCTAAAGACACAACAATTCCAGTACACATATCAATGTTGCCATCCTTACTTAGTACTGCAGAATGATCTTGGACAAAGCCAGCTTCCTTGCATATGATGTTGAAATGAATCAATAATATCTATAGAGTCCATGACCCAGGAGCCATTTTCCTCCAGAAACAACCAGCTCCAAAATCTATATTTGTCAAAGTCTCACAATCGAGATCTCGGCACTGACAAATACTCATACCACCAAATAAAGATAGTCAGAGAATAGATTCCATGGGCAGATGGCTTTACTCTGCAGCTTCCAGCACGCGAGTTGCTAACTATCAAGGAGCTATCGGAGTTACCAGAGCTTCCTTTGGGACAACATGTCCACCTTTGTTGAATCTCTACCAGAGGATAAAAAGATACCTGCACAAACCTTCCAACAAGAAGGTCTTTCCGTTGCTAAACAACAAATGCTCTCTGCTCGACACACAGTAGATGCTACAGCTAAGTCTGTGGCCACTTCAATAACCCTACACCATTTCTCTTGGCTCAGAACAGCTGGCCTTGCTGAGGATGCCCGCACACGCATCGAAGACCTTCCCTTCAATGGCGTAGGGCTCTTTAATGCTGAAACAGATGACATCTTAGAAAATGTACAAAAGAAAAGATCAGCGGCTAGACGCTCATGAGTCTACACTTCCTACCAACAATGCCCTCAAGAAAATCAGTGGAGGCAACCTTATGACTCCTACCAAAAGTTCCATGATCCTCCAAGACACACATCTTACACACCATATTTCAGGAATTAAAGAACAAAGCCTTGCCAACAACCTGCTACCAGGCAAAATGACCACAAATCCAAACATCATGTTTGACACTCCTTTGACTGAGATTACAACCCAGTCCACCCATCCTGCCCTCTGGAAACACTTACCTGCCTGGGAATCCATCACCATGGATACCTGGGTACTATCCATCATCCGAAATGGCTACCGCATCCATTTCTTCGAACTTCCTCCAACAACTCACGTCATCATTCCACCTTCAGAAACTCTGCAAGAAGAAATAGCAAATTCACTCCTTTGACTGAGATTACAACCCAGTCCACCCATCCTGCCCTCTGGAAACACTTACCTGCCTGGGAATCCATCACCATGGATACCTGGGTACTATCCATCATCCGAAATGGCTACCGCATCCATTTCTTCGAACTTCCTCCAACAACTCACGTCATCATTCCACCTTCAGAAACTCTGCAAGAAGAAATAGCAAATTTACTTCTCAACTCACGTCTTCATTCCACCTTTAGAAACTCTGCAAGAAGAAATAGCAAATTTACTTCTCAAAGACTCCATACATACCCGTCTCTCAACACAACAAAGGGTTTTTCTCTCACTATTTCCCTGTACCCAAAAAAGATGGAGGGCTTCGCCTTATCTTAGATCTAAGAGAATTAAAACAAATACAGCATTACCACAATATTATGTATGGTTACTCTGGAAACAGTTCTTCCCGTACTCTGAAAAAATGACTGGTTTACAGTCATAAACCTCAGGGATGCATGCTTCCATATTTCAGTACCTCCTGTATACAGAAAATTCCTTCATTTTCATCCAGGATCACTGTCCTACCAGTTCAAAAGGCTCCCCTTCGGCCTCCTGTATACAGAAAACTCCTTCATTTTCAACTAGGATCACTATCCTACCAGTTCAAAAGGCTCCCCTTCGGCCCTACAACAGCTCCAAGGGTGTTCACAAAGTGCATGGCACCAGTAGCCACCTACCTCAGACTTCAAAACACTCTCATCTTTCCATATATCGATGACTGGCTCCAACAACTTACTAGTCACCCAGGGTGTGATTCACAGAGGCCACGAAGAAGAACAGCAGGTTACCCGCTTGCAATTGTAGTTTGAGTGGACCTCTGTGATTCACACATCCTGCCCAACCTCCCCTCTGTCACACCATTCTGCTTACTACTAAGTGGCGGTTGACACAACTGAAAGGAGAGGCTTGGTGCCAAAGTACTTATACGGGGGAGGGGCTTATTCTAACATGCTTTTTGCTACCGCAGAAGCTTTAGAATCTTTCAGTGAGGCTCTGCGCAGGTGCGGATCACCCAGGGTGTGAATCACAGGGGCCCACTTGAAGAAGTTACCCAATTACAGGTGGGTAACCTGTCGATCTTTGCATTGGTTCACAATAACATCTTCAGTTCATCTAGTTTAACAGTCTCCATTTTCTTTAAGGATCACTACGTGCTGACCGTGCCCAATCTGAGACCATCCACTCTTTACCGTTTAGAAGTCCAAGTACTGACAATGGGTGGTGAGGGGCCAGCTACAATAAAATCTTTTCGAACACCAGATTTGCTGACATCACCGCACAGTAAGTGCAGATTTCCTGCAGAAAGAATTCTGATTAACACATGTGCAAAGAGAAATGTTTTTTTTCCTTTATTTCCTATAAACAATATCAAAAAGATCCAGACTTTCCAGGCATGCCCATCTGGTGCTAACAGCCTGAGAACAATATTGCTTGGCAGTAAGTCAGTCTAGAGTGAAGGTTAGTTTGGAAACTAATATTCTTCCTTGGAAGTGTCCAATCCCAGATTGGACCCAAGCTGCTCTGCCTGTTTTTTCCTTTGTTTCTTCTACATATCTCCATAACCTAGTGACAGCAAGACAGGGAATACTAGTGTCTGGACCTGCAATAAACTTGAGGATGGTGTTGGGGTAGTATCTAGAGCACCGTTCCGAACTTGGAACTCTCTAGTTGTATTCGATTATAACCTCTGGCATCCCTAGTTAGCATGCCCATTGAGATGATGGAAATTGGAGTCTAGGACCTCTGGAGACAGCAGGTTGATGAAGCATGGTATAGGCTTTTTGGAACTTGGGAAGTGTAGTTTCCCAATAAGGACATAGGAATAAAAATAATCACTTGATTTATTGGTACATGGGTTAAGGACACCAAATTTCTTTGCAGGAATCTCTTTAAATGTTCCCATCCCTTAGATGATTTTCCAGTGTTTCTAGAATGTATCGGTGTTGTACTTAACATTCTTAATTTTTAAGATGTTAAGACACCCCAGTTAATTAGGGCTTGCTGATTGATTGATTGATTGATTGATTGATTGATTGGATTTCTATCCTGCCAATCTAGACCAAAGGTCTACTCTGGGCGGTTAGCTGTTGGTGCCCCTGTAACCTCCAGATAAGCCCCAGTTAAGGAAATCTATTAGTTAAAGCTAGTCTGATATGTACATATACGTAGGGAAGATTTGAGTTTTAGTGTCAGAGACATGAACGTGTTTGGGGCAGAATGGACATTTTCAGAGAATGTCAGGAGAAAAGAAAAATAAAGAAAATCAGTGTAGAAGGGAAAGATAGGGACGGTCACAATTACTTTGAGGTTCATGAAGGACAACGACTATCCCAACTTCTATATGCTTAGCCAAAGTAAGAGATAACAAAGGACATGGATGAGAGCTGGACAAACTGACAGTGGACAGGCTTAACACATTTCCAGTGTTGCCCATCTTGAGAGTCCATATCTTGAGTGGCAGTATGTTCTCAAATATTTGTTTGGCCAGTGGAGAAAACAACCACACAGACTAATTCAGGTTGCCCTTAGATTTGTTTGACAGTTATGGGGACCTAGGTAACTCTAGGTAAGCATGTATATGTATCCTAAGTCCCCATGTTTCCTGCATGCTCAGAAAAGGTGAGTCTTATTCATTCAGGCAGATGACACACAGGTAAAGAATTTTGATCACATCAAGTGCCAGTTACTTTGCACCTCACCTTATGGCTGCATGACTACCTCTTGCTTAATTGTTCTTCCAGGATAAAATAGTTACTTCAGACTAGGTGCTAGTATGAGACCCAAGCAGTGGGTGAAAGCCAAACTGTACTTCTCCATAGGAGTATGCAATGGGCAATATATGGTTTGTGTTCATTGATGTTCTACTGCTAGCAGAACCAACAGAGCTTGGAGATCAGATTCTCCTCATCCCCCTCAGATTTTTATGTACCTTTTTGGTTTGGATTAGGGAATCCTATGGGATAGGAGATCTGAGTTTCCAGCCTGTGCAGGGATGAGAGAAGCTGTAGACTTGAGTTAGGAGATTCATCGCTTAAGTGAAAGCCTACTTGTATAACACTGGATTTAGAACTGTACGTGTGCTACTTTTGTAGGGTAGAACAGGATATATCTGTACCTAGACTGATTACAGTTAATGAACTTACTGATTTGTATTTTTGATTAATGGAACACTATCAGCATTAACATGGATTTTCCCCCCTTTTCAGGGCCTCATTTAAAGCAACATCATTCACATCATTACAAGCCACCACCTGAAAAATACTAAATTGCATTGGATTATTAACTTTCGGAAAAGGATGAACACTGAGCTTTTGCAAGAATTGAAAAAGGAATCTATATTGGAGTATGGAATAATCTTGTGGTTCTGTCAGATGCTTGCCCTATGTGAGCTGGGCAAAGATAGTTATATCATGTGGACTGAAGGAAGCATGCTTGTACTAATTCCACAATGAAGTATGTTGTGCAAGGATCAATTATATTTCTGTAATTTGAACATTCAACATCTATGGAAATTTAAAACTGTCCAAGTACAATGGTTCATTAGCATCATAGCATATACTGTATGACACTCACTTTTACCAGTCTTCACAACTGTATATCTTTGTGTGTGCATTTTATATTATACAAAATTTTAATATCTGGTCCCATAATTAATTGCCATAAAAAACAAAGCTTGGTAACACAGGTTCATCATTGTATTATTATTGTGAATGTCTTAGTCTTAGTGTTGATGAATGTTGGGGTTCACATGTGAATGCAGTCAACCCCAGATGACCTTGGCAGCAAGTGAGTGTATTAGCAGAAAAATAAAATAAGGAGCTTAGTGCATAAACAATAAGGAATTTTATGGATGCCTAGTTTACAGACATTCACATGTGAATGCCAAGAATCTTATTTAGGTGTAACATGACTATGGCCAAAGCTTCTCAAGTATTTGAACAGTTTTTATTTGGAAACTATTGCTTCCAAAGAAAATGTACTGAATTTTTAGTCTTTCAAATTACTAATAATAGTGAAAGTTACAAAGTGCTTAAATGAGTTGACATCAATACAATCTGATCAAACAAATGGAAATATAAGTGCCACTGCTTCAGTAGATTATGCAACAGGGCAATATGATATTTTATATCTTTATGGTGAAGCTATCGAAAAAGAGTAACGTTAACCCAGAGATGTAGTTCAGTCCTTTGATTTATAGACCTAATTCTTAAGAAGTAATTTCATTTGAGGTCTAGCTATCTTTATATTCTTATTATCTACTAAAGTGCTTAAGGACCAACAAAATATGTTCACCCTGTAGTCAGTCAGCAGTGTTTCCCTGCATTGTGCATTCCATCCTGCAGTAGATTTGTCTTTTACTAATATAGAAGGAACATCCTTGTGCATGCAGAAGACTGTTTCTGCAGTCTCCTCCTTCAGTGTAAATGAATATGGATGTCTGCATGTTGGGAAGATCTTGGTGTGATAAGAGCCATACACAAAGCATTCAAGATCATGTTGGTATGATTATTTGTATTCTTTGATATTCATTTTGTGGGCTCACCAACAGTCTAATTTTTGAAAACAAACCCTTCTTTATTAAGTTGTTCAGGGAGCACTGTGGATCAAAATAAGTGAACCTTCATTGTTTTTAAGCAATGCAGTTCTAGTTCATGCTAGTAGACTTAACACCAGTCATTTTCTATTGTCTGTCTTACTTTGTAAGCAAAATGATGGGAAGTTTCTAGATCCCTAAGCATTGACTATTAATCTCTTATACACATATGATTTAGATCCTGGAAGAAATAATATTTTCTCCTCCCCTACCTTAGTAGAAAATTGCAGGGTTGAACCACTTGCCTTCATATTTATATGTTTGATTTTTTTAAATAAAAAAATTAACTGAACGCATTCTATATTTTTAAATTATTTTTCCATTAATTTTAAGCTGTGCATAAAAAAGAGGAAGAATACGCACATACTGCTTTCTTAAGCAAGAGAATTCAAACTAAAAGCATGTATCTTTTTCTTATGAAGACAAGAATGCACAGGAAAACCTGTCCTCATATTATTTCATTGGCTTTGAGAGGACTCATTTAATGGCTGAAGAATAAGGAAATGGCACAGTGTTTCAGTGGAAAGACATGTATTAAATCCCTTTGTTGTTACTGAATAAGCTTTTGAAAAGTGATCCTTACAGCTGACTGCTAGAGGTATAGCTTTCATATCCCACCTGAGTAAAGAGGTCAGATAGCAAAGAGAGAACAAATGAAGATGGGTCACATGATGTACTTCAGTTTAGGGAGAAACTGAAATATTGTATCTGCATTTATTGCTCACTTAATTTTTGTTTTTGCTTTTGCTTTCTGGTTCAAGGGAAATAGATTCAACCTACAAGTGTGTTGAGTTCAAACATCTCCAGCGTTTGTAAGGTGGTTCACACCTTCATCTTCTATTGTTTGTCGAGCTGCAAATAAAAATTGAACAACTCCCATTCACTGTCCACATAATGATGGAGTCTTTGCTGGAGACCAGCTGCAGATAATTATGTCTTGAGAGATCATATCATGCATAGGTATAAACTGTCCATTGATTTCTGTGTTTTGCACCATTCTGAAAATGGTTACAAGGATGCTTACAATTTTTGACTGAAGCATCTTACAGCACCTTAGAAGACTTAAAAAAACTATTTGGCAAAAATTTTTGAGGACCATCCACGTACAGCCAACATGAGCTGCAAGGTGAATATGCACCATGATACATTTCAGTGAAATCACTGAGATATATTACTACATAGGTTCTTGTCTATAGAGGAATGTGGTTTACTAATAAGCATATAAGCTGCCTTCAGATAACTGTTCTCATTCTAATTCATCAATTTCCCCCCTAAAAAGTGGTATAAAGGCAGTTGCAATACTAATTATTTATTTTTTTAGATTATGGTATTCTTTTACTTTTACTTATCCTGGTTTTCTTCTTGAGTTTTCTTAATCTTTGATAAATACCTGTGGATGCAAAAGTTACTATAAATGCCATACACCCCTGTACACTGTAGCCCAGGAATATGATGCTTATTAGATGATGCATGTTTTCTTTTACATTACAAAATTTATTGAAAACCAAGTAAATTAATACTTAAAGATTTTGATGGCTTTATATGATTTTGCATGCCAAACTCATAATTCAGTTATAGGCATGAAATGTATGACTGTATTACCTCTATTGAATATATTGGTAAGGTACATTTTGCAAAGTAATTAAAAGAGGTTCTATATGTAAAAAAACAGTTTTCCTTTTTATGTAATTATATTGTAGTGTGGAAATAACAGAGCTACTTACCTGTTAACTAAATTGGCTGTAGAAATCATGTTCTTTATATCAGACATTTAAAAGTCAGTATTTATTTATATATGTTATACAAAGAGGGTTAATTTGTGTGTATGTGTGTCTTGTTACTTAGATTAATGTTTTGTGTAAAAACATTTTGTAAAAAAATTGTAAATAGTCTCTCTGTTCCTCATTATTTTCATGTTTAGATTTTGTACATATGTTAAAGTAATAAACTACCCTTCTATACAGAAATAAGTCTTCTGCAGTTTTCAATAGTGTTAGTAATTTGATGTCATTTCATAAAAATACAATCCACATAATTATTGCAGTTGAAACAACTGGAGGCTCAGAGCTCAGGTTGGCTACACCTACTCTTAGAGACCAATTAAATGATTGAAATAACAGGCCACTAAGAGGTGCAAGGTCTTTTCTGTATTATTGTTGTGCTGGCAAAGCAAATCAATATTCTACAAGGTAGTTCTAAAAATGGGGGCACCGCAAACAAAATATTATAATTTTGAAACTGGACTTCAGATCAGCACCACATTTGGCACAGATGTAGCAGCCAGTCTGCTTTTGCTGTGTGCCAAACTTAGGCAAAGATTTTTCAAGTTATTTTTTAAAAAATTAAAAACCAAACTGTTAACACACACACCCCTGCAGAAACAGTTTACCTTTTATGTCTCCAGATGTGAAAAAGATCAAATAAATTGAAAAGCCCAATCTTGCTTACCTTGAAAAAGCATGGTTGGCCCACCTGGCTTTTCTCACACTTGTTGAAGAACAGCCCTGACAATTGTTTTGTTATGGGATGAGAAATGGTTAACTGATGGAAAAAAGGGGTCAGCTTCTGGGATTTTCTCTTCCTTGGGGTCACTTTGTGAATGGTAGTGAGCACAAGAGCCTTTCCTGCAGACCATCTTGATTGCCGCCATCAACATTCAGGCTGTTCTTTGTTACTTAAAGCTTGGCATCCTTAGTCCTGCTGGCAATGCAGGCACACTATTATGTAGAAATATTCGTCTATTTCCTGGTGCTTTGAATTGTGGTTACAGACACATAATATCCCTCATTCATAAACTGGAGGATTTTTAAAATGAATTTAATTCTAACAGGATCCCGTCTTAATGTACATTTGGCAAATGATCATGCTTTTGGTTTATAACTCAAAGTAGGTACATAGTGATCATTTTGCTTGTCTGATTTCTTAGGTGCCTTGCTTTGATAAATTTTCATCCCTGGATAGAAAGAGAATACATATTGCATTTTATATGTTATCTTATCCTGAAATGAATATTTAGACTACTGTACTGCAAATCAGTATTTTGATGAGAGTGGTGGAGTAGGAGAACACTTGATACCACTCCCCCCTCTTGCCTTTAAAGATTATATCAGCCCTAATCATAAGAGAAGCTAAGGCTAATAGTTTTCTGTGATATGTGGGACTGATAGGTTTCTGGGATATATAGAAGTCTGCATATACATAGGGCTTCTAGATGAATTGGAGCAGCAAGGTACAAAATCTGTTTTAATATCAACTGATTGGAAATCTTCTGTTTTTACATTCATCTTTTACAGCAGTACTGGAAGACAACTAGAAGTACAATAAAAGATTCTCTGCAGGAAGTGGCATGTCAGTGACACTTGGAGGTGGTCAAACAGGGTGGGGGATTAAGACAAATACCAAGTATTCAAATTTATACCACAGCAGAAGGTTATGTAGGTGTGGGTTCATAGGAAATTACAGATGACTTGCAGGAGCAAATGGATCTGGGGTGAGTAATTGGTATGAAATTCTGATTAATTGCTGTGGAAAAGCCTTTGACCCATCAGAGGTACCTGTGGTTGAAAGGCACTGTCTAAAATGATGTGACTGGGTCATTTTCTTTGTGCAAGTTACCTGTGAGTCTCCTTCTTTTCATTTAACATAATCAGCAACAATAATGTGCTATAGATTCTGACACCGTACACCTTTTCCAAGGTTTTCTTGGTAGAGAGTACTCAGAAGTGGTTTGCCATTCTCTTTTTCTGGGGACTTCATACAGCTTGCCCAAGGCTGCACAGCCTGGCTTTTCTCCTGGGACTCACAGTGTGGAATCAAACTCCCAGCCTCTACCAGCTATCCAAGCAGCTTCACATTTCATATAGTTATATTCTTGTGTTAGAATGAAAGCTGTTGGCAGGAGGTGTTTTCAAACTTGCCAGATGCAGTATTGGGCATTTTAAAAAGAGTAGCTTTATTTCTCTTTTTATATCTAGTGAAAGGAAATTCTACAGTTGTACTGCCGTCTCCTTTAGCTTTTCTGAAATCTTGTACATTAAAAGTGCAAAGTTTTGTTCTGCCTGGTGTATATAGTACAAAACAGTTATTTTAATGGCTGTTTCCAGTAACATTAACTGTAAAAGGAAAACTAAAATAGATTGTCAATGTGCAAGAACCATTTTGCTGTAGCCAACTTTACTGGAAGAGTAGTGTACACATGAGCTGCCTGGATAGCTCATAGGTTTAGAGTTCGAGTTCATCAGTTAAATTCTCCACTGTGCCTCCAGGAGGAGAAGCCAGCTTGTGTGGCCTTGAGCAAGTTGCACAGTCCCATAAAACTCTCTGAATACAACATTATTTGGTGAATTTCCTCAGAAGAAGGGAGTGGTAAATAACTTCTGAGTAGAAAACCCTTGAAAGAGGTGCCATAAGTCAAAATCAATTTGGCATCATATTGTTACTATTACTATACTATTACTGTTATACACAGGACAGGAAAAGGTAAAGCTTCCTATTAGAGGAAAGAAAGTAAATGAAAGAGGCTCCTAAAAACATATCAGGAATATTTCTCTCTCACTCTGAACAGAAATTAATAGGAAAATCAGGGATACAATTAATTATTGAATGGTTGCATTCTTATCTGTAGCATACTGTCCACATGTGTACTTTTTTTGTTCTCTCTTCTACCTAATAATGGCTTATGTTGTCGGTGCTGCGCTCTTATACGACAAAACACCCAGTTTGAAAGTATCTTTATGCCTGTGTTCCTGCTAACCATGTATAGGATTGTCTGTCTGTCTGCTATCTCTCCAACACCACCCATCTTCTTACGCTTAAGCAGGTTTGGGGATCTATGTGTATCCTTTTTAACTCTTTTACTACCTTGTCCTTTTTTTAAAAAGTGGCATGTAATAAGAACATGATTCCTTTAGCCCTCCCAAGAACTCTGAAAGACAATTTCCCTAGAAATCAAAATGAATGTTTGACAATTAGTTCAAAAGCCTACCTCATAAAGGCTCTAACTTGATGGACTTCGGTTATTACAGCATTACCAGTAACATTTTCTCTGTCTTGTTTCTCTGAACTACATACAGTATGTATGGCCAATAGTATGTAGCAGCAAACCAAAGAAATGTTGATTTACTGCCAAAAAATGATACATAGTGTATATTAAAAATCTAGCTTAGCATGCTGTTGGTATATTGTACAGCTGTTGGGTTGGGGGTGAAGATAAATGTTCTAATTCTTCTATTTACAGATGTTGTGATTTTATTACCTGGAATAAACCCAGGCTCCTCAAGAAAGCCCTAAAGCCAAAATACTGGCTTTTGTCCAATAACAATGCAACACAAGAAAGATCAAATGAACCAGACTGCAGAGACAGACATGTATGGAAAATATGTATAATTTCAGGTCATATGACAGGAGTAGATCTTGCCGATAAGCAGTTAGATGGTCATACTTCTCTCCTTGCAATATCTAACTGTCATATAACTATCTGAACACGGCATTATTGGGTGAATTCCAAATATTTCAGAATCTGAATACACATCCTAATATAAAATACTCTCCCACTTTCTAGTGATAACAGTCTATTCCCACCACAAGCAAGGTTTTGGGGAATGATTGGCTATAAAACAGGAGGAGGAGAAGCTTTTGGTCCTACACAGAATGAACATGGCAATGGCATGGGGAAAGCCTAACAGGGAAGCTGGGGTAGGGGAGAATAAGTTTGCCATGCCTTTAAAATTTACTACCCATGATGAAAAGAGGCAGAACTTTCTGGAATTTCACAGAGGGAAGAGGATGTAGTTTATGTAATATACTGCTATAGTTAATTGCTTTTTGAAGACATATCCTTGCAGCGAGGTCTAATTCTCACTGAGTCAGCACGAATGCCCTTCTTTCAATATGGAAAGGTGTTCCTTTTGAAGTGTAGCAGCTTCACAGACAAATAAAAGCCTTACAGAGTAATCATGGGGGGAGGGGGGGTCAAAGTGTATTCTATCCTGTGGGAAAAATGGCAAGCTATGTGAAATAATTAAAAACAAACAGTGTGATACTGAAAGGAAGCTAATTGGTCCCATCTAATTGGAGAGTGTGTTTTTAAAAAAGCACACATAGTTCAAGGAGCAGTCCTGTGGTCCCTAAAAAGGCACCAAGAGGGTTCAGATGATCCTTCGGGAGGCAGAAACCTCCTGATGAAGTAGAGGAAAGTGCCACTCCTAGGCTGCCTACTGGATTCTGAAGGTAGCTGGGGCCCGAAGCAGGCATATTAGGAGAGGTTATGGGTGTGAAGGCTCCTAAGCTCTTTCATCCCCACAGAGCCTAAAAGTATTTCCACACTGGCACTGGTTTTGACAGGAGAAAACCATTTTTGGAGGAGATAGTTTCACTGAACTGAGTGAAAGTTACTTTTTTGTCAGGATGCTCTGTAGAACTGGTAAGAAATAATAAACATCAATATAAACCTGTGAGGAGAACAAGCAAGGCAGAATCAAGATAAAATGTAGCTCACCTTGCCTCAGGCAATATGGCTGAAGAAAATTAATGCTATGACTATTTGGGTAAAGGTAAAGAGAAAAATCCTTTCTTTCAAAACAAAACAATGCAGACGTTTCCATCGGTCTGTCTCTTACCTTGTTTTTGACTACTAAGCAAGCCAACCAATTTCTACTCAACAAAAAAGTAACAATGGTATCCTCTAAGTGCAGCTACAGTAGTGACAGAGAGCGATCTACTGTAGTCTGGGTTGCTTCAGAACGGTTTGGAATGGTGGCGCTTGCTTAGTTCACTCCTAATCACACGGAATTTTTTTCATGTAGTTGCAATCTAGTCAACCACCTGTTGGTGATGGATTGCTCAGTTTAGGTCACAATATGTCCTTCTCTTTCTTACTGCCCACCTCCTGTCTTCTCTTTCACAATAGCTGTCAGCCGGTTGGGAAACAACATGCTTCTGTTTG